ACAGTGTCGAGCAGTGTAACACTGTGTCATAGTTGGAACACTTTGTGTACGACACAGTGTTACACTGTGTCATCTGTGTACGTTGTTGGAAAACACCCATTGATTCGGGGCAGTGAGAGAGCCAAGTTACTAGGAACACTGGATCTGAATCAAAGCAAGTAAAACCACATTCGGATCGGGAGTGATCCCGATTGATCACGGCTCGATTGGACACCACCAATCACAGCGACCGGTGCTTAGGAGCTTTGTAGTCTCAAGCGCTGTGAGTGGCTCGTGTCCAATTGAGCCGTGTCCAACTGGGTGCCACCCCTCGGATCGCATACACCACACCGTTTCGGCACTAGTGCAAAAGTTACTAGCCACTGACACCGAGCTACATCAAATGAGTGCACATCAATCGAATTCGATCCAGGATCTTAAAAATGAAAAAAGGAAGCAGTTTAGCACAAAGTAATGAGTAAAGCATAATTTGAGCACTCACTGTTGCTCACTGCCATATAATGAAATAAGCAGGAAACGAGAGAAAATGTTTGTGGAAAAACTATTGTAGAGCATGACACTTACATTATCATTTTTGTCTCCTTTTTTTATCTTTTGTTTTTTATTTTTATATTTATTACTACATGTATATATACACAGTACTTCATCATCTGAGGAAGAAAAATAATGATAAAAAAACTTGATAAATATTCCTTTTTCAAATAAAGTTTATGTTTAATAAAAATTTTAATAAATAACAGTACTCTTACATCACAGTTAATAGTAATCCTTTCTTATGACTATATAACCCATGGTGGAATAAACAAGGTGTACCATTGCGCATCCTGGCTGTGAATGGCGGGGATAATCTGGGGTGGGGAAACCAATGAAATATTTGACCCGAAATCGTGTTCTTTCGTTCATTCGTGTTTTGCATTTCGGGTCAAATTTCCCATTGGTGGCTACTGCGCAACCACGGGAATGGTACACCTTGTTTATTCCACCATGATATAACCTATTAACAAGTAAAATTATATTCTGGAGCTATGGGTGGATCCATATATTTGTTTGGTTTTTGAAGGCTAAAATAAAACAAGTTTTTTTCATACAAAGGATGAATTTTAATCAATGATATATTCTCCGTTTTTGTTGATGACCTCTTGCCATCTTTCCAACAATTTCATTATTCCGCTCCCATAGAAGGTCTGGGGCTTAGAGGCGAAAAATCGGTCAAAGTACGTTTTCACAGATGTCTGATCAGCGAACGATTTCCCGTTGAGGGAGTTTTGCAGGGACCGGAACAAGTGGTAGTCGGATGGCGCAAGGTCTGGTGAATACGATGGGTGGGGCAAAACATCCCAGCCAAGTTGCACTAATTTTTGCTGAGTGATTATTGCAGTGTGGGGTCTGACGTTGTCATGATGGAATATGACATCTTTGCGATTGACCAGTTCTGGACGTTTCTGTCGCAATGCTTGATTCAATTTCGTTAGCTGCGTGCAGTAGACCTTCGAATCGATCATTTTTCCCTGAGAAAGCAGCTCGTAAAACAGCATACCACGATGATCCCACCATATGGATAGCAAAATCTTCTTCGAATGCAGGCCGGCCTTCGGGGTGGCATTTGGCGGCTCGCCAGCGGTTCCCCACGGTCTCTTGCGCACTATGTTGTCCTAGATGATGCACTTTTCGTCGCCAGTCACTATTCGTTTGAGAAACGGGTCGCTTTCGTGCCGCTTCAGAAGTGAATTGCAGATGGATATGCGGTTGGCCAAGTTCTCCTCGGTCAGCTTGTGCGGCACCCAGACATTGAGGCGGGACACGTAGTCAAGCTGTTGCAAATGCCTTTGTACGGTTCCATAACCTATTTTAAGTGTCTCCGCAATCTCTCGCACCTTTAGCGTCCGGTCTTGCTCAACCAATGCCTTGATATCATTCGAATCAACCTCGGTGGGTCGACCGCTGCGGGGTCCATCTTCAAGACTCGTATCTCCAGAACGAAATTTGGCAAACCATTTCTGAGCGGCACGTTCTGTTAAGACATCGTCCCCGTATGCGCCGCATATCTTTCGGTGGGCCTCCGCAGCTCGCTTGCCTTTCTTGAAGTAATAAAGCAAAATGTGCCGAAAATGCACCTTATTCTCCAACATGTTTACAGGCCTGTAGCACAAACAAAACTAATGCCAATGAAACCAAATTTGATGATGAAAAGAGCGGACTGTCACCTTTCCAAAACACATTTGGATTGCCCGGTTAGGCAACCAGAACCGGAGATA